GTGTGCGTGTGCACGAATGCGTGATGGGCTTTCAAATGTCAAGCAGAGGATGACTTGAAAGCTAGATGCTGCATCGGAATGAAATGCAATGGTTCTGTACAACGTGCTCTGGTAAAAACAGAGTTGTCGTGTCCCTGGGAAGCTTGAACACCGAAAAGAAAATTCCTTTTTTTTATTCTAATGTCTGCGGACAAGTCTGTAATAACTTGAGCTTTTTTCTCATATTTCAGACCATTATATAATCTTAGGCTGCAATCGAATGTCCTACAATGTACATGTAGCTGCAGTCAGAAATAATACGCCGCTGTGGAAGCTACTTCCTACTGATACGTGTGTCACTATAAGTCATAGCCAGTTGATTCAGACATAGCCGTACAAATGTCATTGTGCATGGAGACGAAACAAAAAATACTGTTTATGAGAGGATCTGAGGACATGTGGGTATGTGAGGTACCTGACTACCAATGCATGCAAATGAAACCATGCCCATGGTCTAGCACCTTACCTTGGATATGTGAATGGTCTGGCATATTACACTGCTGCTGCTGCTGCTGTTGCTGCTGTTGTGAGTTGTGCTGGCCATGAGGTGGAACAGGATGGTATCGATGAATATTGACATGATGGTGAGGTGGGACAGGCACGCCCGAGTTGGGCGGCACCGCCGAGTGAGCGGGCACCGACGACGCAACGTGGGGCTGCACGTGGTGGTGCATACCAGGGTTCGGATACCCCATCAGGTGGGGGTAGACTCCGCCCATGCCACCCCCAGCCCCGCCCCCATTGGGAGAGTAGAGGGCGGGATAGATCTGCGGGGGCGAAAGCGCCGGCGGACAAGTGGTGTACATGCCTTGCTGGGGTGGCGGCTGCTGCTGCTGCTGGGGCGGTTGCTGCTGCTGCTGTTGCTGCTGTTGTAGGTCACCGACCACAGCGTCTTGCACAGAGGGCTGCAGGGCAATCCCCATCGGCGCCGTGACGACCGGCACGTTGGACACGCCGGTCGGCATGGAGACCGGCCCATGTCCCGTCTGCACTGTGTGCAGGGGTGGAGGGACAGGAGAGTTGGAGACAAACTGGATGAGGGTGGGACCTGCAGAAGAAGAGACAGAGTAGATCCCAATTACACCCGAATAATGCATGGCTTCCCATGCATAGCAGCCCCTCAGAGTACGAAACTCATCCACCATAAGCTAATACATAAGTCCCATTGATGAAGTGCAATATGCCACAGAGTCGCTGCACACTATTAGCTACGATGAAGCCCCAGAGAATTACATGTACCGTAGTTATTAACAACAGCCGCGAGACTAGGGTTAACATTTTAAACTGCATGTATACATGTAGTATTGCATTGAACATGTGTACATGTACAAATGCCATTTCCTGTAGTAGCCCACACAACCATTTTATAAATGGGAACAGCTGTCAATTAACAAAAAGGGCTACCATCTTTTACGTGTGGCCATTGAAAACATTTGTTGTTGGTTTATTTTTCCCCTTGTTCTGATTCACCAAGAGAAATCAGACATTTTCCAGGTTGTTTTTCCTCAAGTCTCCTCCCCCCCCAAAAGTTGCGGTGATGCGTAACTTGTTTTCCTATGACGCACAGGAAATTGGGACTGAGCACAGCCTTTTACAGGGAGAGAAGGCGGGTACAGAGGGGAGTCCCACAAAACCAGCGAGGCTTTCCCCTGCCAGGCACCAAGGCTGAGTCATTCCCACGACATGTTGGGGACGGGGGGGTTGGCAGCACCTGCCACCAGTCCAGGCAGTGTCATTCCTCATCCCTTCAGTGGGATCATGATTCCAATCTCCCACATTCGGGAGACTTTCGGTTTTGACTCGCTCATGTTCCCGACCGCAAACCGACAAAAACAAACAAACAAACAAACAAACAAACAAACATAAATGTTTTCCTCCTGACTGCCTCTATGTTTTGACTTCCTTATTCTTACAACATTTGGAGTTTCAAAAAAAGAAACTGATATCATGAGGAACAGGAAAAAAATAATCAACTGAAAACTGCAAAGCGAAGTCAATTTGGATCAACTTTCTACTCCATTCAAGCTTGTCTATTTTGAGATATTACACGGTATAAGATCCCCTTTCCCAACCTCAAAAATCTATCTACAAAAAATAAACACACACACACACAAAACTCATAAAGAACTCTGTGCATGAACCTGTAAGATGCCCTGGACATAATCTGAATTCTCTGATCACCATTCTACATGTATATGTAGGCCTAGTTTCCAGCAGGTGCAGTATGGGCCTGTTAAATACATTTGTAAGTTTATGAGTCTTTAACTGTAGACCGGACCAGCATGTAGGGTCAAGACAAAAGATTCTGTGGAGGAAGAGTCCCTTTAAACTTCAACATTACCCATGCCTCCCCCCCCAAATATTTGGAATGTCATCACCAAAGCCCTGCTGACTACACCCCAAAGAAACCCTGAAAAGTGGTTGGGCCTACAATGTACACTACCTCACTCAACAAGTGCACTCATGTACAGTACATGTACATGTACATGTACATGTACATGTACGTACTGTACATGTACATGTATAACTAATCATTTGTGCATGTATGACTTTAGGCCAAGTATTCTAACCATGCAGCAAGTGGTTTCACTTCCTGCACAAACACACATCCATGAGCATACCTTTCATACGCCCTTCCACAAATCAAATGTTTTGTCATAACAAAACATGACTTTAGAAAAGTAGTTTCCATTAGCCCGTACACAGTCATTCAGAAATATCTCCATCTTCTCCAGCAGTCAGACTTATACTTGAACAGGTAATGATTAAATGTCATTCTGCACAGGCCTACAGGTACATGTCACGGACCACGGTTTTCCCATTGTAAGCCTTTGACACTACTCAAATGGGATTACAGGAGTTACCATTTCTTTCTGTGCCCAGAAAGAGACACAACAAAAACACGACACCTAAAAATACCGGGGCGCAACAGAGTGAAAAGGTGACGCCTTGTATACCCAGAGACTTGTGCCAATCCCCCCCAATCCCTGTGCACTTCTAGAGCAAAACAGTCCGTTCAACTGTAATAAGTACATGTACCGGTACTGGTGCCGGTAGTGGATTTGCCAATATTCAACCACTGTTTCACTCCTAGCATGGAGGAAGGACACACAAAGAGTTTAAATTGCCCGGGCTGTGCAGTGAAAGCTTGCAATGCACCACCTGTTTCACAACCATAAGCACCCTTTTACCCAATGATCATCACCGCAATTTTTCGCTGGTAATCTGCATCCTTAAAACGTTGTGTACTGCAGTATAGGAAGTTGACTATTCATGCCATTGTTGGTGTTTGGTTATGATCAGCCAACAACATCAAATTGAATGCTTGTGCCGTCGCTTTTATTAGGCTCTGTACCTGAAGAGATTTCATGTGCAGTTATTGCCCTTATCAAATGCTTTCTTCTGGACTTATTTTGGTAATTAATAGCCATGCTTTTTATAAGATATTGTGTTTTATTTGAAACATTTTTATTACGGAACTTACATAAAATTAAAAAGTATTTTATGAGATGTTATGATCACTCCTTATGATAGTACAGCGCATTTTGTTTTTCGTGAACTTACGGTAACTGTCCTGTGGAGGTCAACATGTCGTTGGCCAGTCTTAGCCAAATTCATACAAAGACTTTGAAAACTGATGTTTTGGAGGGACAAAAATGAAACATTGCATGGATAATGGAGAAGTGCATCAAAATCTTTAAAAAAACTTATTCACGACGGCAAAAGTGAATCCAATGTTAGATATTTATTCTTTCTATTTCCTGGTCATTGCAACAAGTTTTAGTTAATTGCAAAGAAAACACTACAAATATTGCTATGATATTACTGGCCCCATTTGTCTGGCTAAACTGCCGGCAGTAATCAGGAATTTTCGGAATGTTCACTATTGTTCGTCTGACCAGGCGGCGATGATCATCGAGCACTTTGATGTGCCAGGGTTGTAACTCCTCCTCTGTCCCTCCAAGCTGACAAGCAGCTTCATAGAAGTCTGCCCTGTCTTTTGCACAAAGAGCCCTGCTTCACATGAATGCAGTGGCAACCCACAAAAACTGGCTTCCCCTAAAGACACCCACATGCTGTGTACGCCTCGAGACAGAAACCGAGACTGGGAGGTATGAGTTCATGCCAGGAACAGCGGCAGCCTTGTCTAACACTTTTGGGTCTATTTCTGGATGACCAGAGTAATACCTGCCACTCCGACTTTCTCAACGTAATTCATGGGGCACAGTTGTCCCTGGACAAGAGTTTCTGCTTGCTCTTTGAAAAGCATATTGTACATGTAGAGAGTTTTACAGTGAATAAAGGCAAGGAGAATGTAAGTGATACTAATTGACGCAAGCAACAGCCAGTTTCGGACTTCTGCCCTTGCTCAACAAAACACACACTGGGGGCATGATGTTGTCACCTCTGCCACTAGCAACCTCTGCCTGCACATGTTTGCATCAGTTCATTCATGTATGGTACACGTATACATAAATAGATGTACTTGTCATGTACATGTACAGACATGAATTCCCAGAGAAATTTCAATACATGTACATTGTACGTAGGTGCAATGTGCATGTACATGTACATGTGGGACCTACGGTGTGCACTTCAGCTTCAGTGCATGAGTGTACATGTAACTGAGAGCCTCTTGGGCCCATCAAGAGAACACACAACATTACCACTTGACCAACAAAAGCCCTCCCAGTCTTTTAATTCAAGTCACATGTTGTTCAGTGAAATGCAACAAACCCATTCCTTTGTCACTGCGCACCCTGTTACAAGGTACAGGTACTCCTGACTGGTCTTGACAACAATGTTGTCAGCATCATAACAAACACTGGGCTTTGTGAGATAAGGGATGGCATGTTCTGTTTGTTGTTTGCTTGTTTTCAAAGAATTGGGTCGAATTACATGTATAAACTCTTCTTCCAAAATGTTCAAAAGAGGTCGCTGACTTTGGTGTTCATAAAAAACAGAAGTCTGCAATCTCAAGAAGCAGGTGCCTAGGCCTTTCAAAACACATCTCCCTATTATCTGTGCACAGACGGCTGCAAAGAACACTACGGTCTGTCCTGAAAAAAGCCCTGTCCCTTTAAAACGGCCACATTGAGCCGAGGAGCAACAAGCACTTAACTGTGATCTCTGCACTAATTTGCAGGTGGCTGACCTCAATAGGGACACTCCATTATTCAACACCAGGCTCTAATTAAATTTGCCACCTACTTCCAATTAGGAGGGACTGGATCAGACAGTCTCAGTGACTCCTTGCTGAAGGCTGGAGGGAAAGACTAGTAGGGCAGACTGGTCTAGACAGCCTGTACCTGGCACAAGCTAACACAAGAGATAATAATATACATGTACTAAAGTACAGCACATGTACCATATGTGTACATGTTTGAAGCATGATATGCTCATGAACACCAACTGTACAGTGTATGTGTACTGGCACATGTACAGTACGTACAGTTATCTTCAGGCAAACCTGAATTCTCAATTCTGATTGGTCGGTCCACGGCAACAAAGAGTGACATATTTTTTGGCACAGTCCACGTCAAACACCGCATGATGCATTGTTCCAACTCCACAAAATGCACTACGATACGGTATCTTTATGCTAAAAGCAAAATTTAGTATACATTTGTAAAAATTCAAAGGTGGCGCGTTTGCGCTAATAGACCCCTGTAACATCTTTACTGTACGTCAAGTTTGCTTGAAGAGCGCAAGCATGATGTAATAGAGTCAAATGCACACGTGTACATGAATGTACCGTTACCATGAACACTGTGCCACACTTACTGTACATTAACAATGTCCAGTATACACATTGAGGTGCCACGAAAAGGGTAAATGATTTACAATGTAGCTTCATTGATTGTGACTGTCTTTTAGAAGCTACCGTACATGTACCAGTAATTGTTCAGCAAATCAATTCACTCATCCAATTTCAGATCAAAGTTACCGGTATTTCTGTGCTTAGTACATGTACATGTACATCCCTCAGTGGCACTGGACTTACATGTGAGTTACAGTACTTGTACCAGGTACCGTACATGTACATGTAAATCGAAAGGGAAGAAAAATAGAGATTTGAGGCCAGAATTCCGATGATCCGGATCTCTTCAAAATCCTTTGCAGTCCCCAAACCTTCCAAGAAAAAAAAAGATGCGATCTGAAGCCGGTAACAGTTATAGAAAACCCTGGGGAAAAAATGTACCAGCTCTAAACAAGTTTCAGCTAACTGGTAAACTTCAATACAAGCCCAAAGACCTTTACATTGTAGGTCATGTAAACACCCAGTATGGTACTGTACATGTACCAGTACATGTACATGTACTGTGCAAGATGTGCAGTACATGTACAACCATACATGTACATGTGCATGTATCATACACACATGTATCTGCAGGCCAGTCGACCTACATGTACTGGTGTACATGTACCTTATCATCGCTGCATGTAAGCCATCAGTGGCCTGCAAAATAATAAATTGAGCAAGATGTCCCTGCTACAGTGTAAATACATGCACACTGCCCGCATCATCAAACCTCATGATTGAAACCCCCTCCCCTCAAGTCTTTGGCGCAATCAGCAGGAATAAGGTTAAACATGATTGGCCCCTGCCCCACCAGGGAAATGTGCTGGAGCCTTTCTCTGAGGTCAGAAGTTCACGGGTCTGCCCCGACTCCCCGCTTTGAAATGCTCTCACTCTCTTTTAAACTCAGGCCACCACCGGGGACTGGCAGTGCAATTTTCCTTCGGCAGTTGTTTCTCATTTTAATATTTAAAAAGTTTTACCAATAAAAAAGAGTGGCTTTGTTCTGCAAACACTGTGCACATTGGCATGAAAACACTCCTCCAGGAGACAGTATACGTGTAAGTACAGTCCCCGTATGTACACTGTACATGTGTATGTACATGTAAGTGTTTAGTTCACAGTGTTACAGGAAAATGTGGAATTAAACTAGTGATAACTTGATGTTTTACGAGGTTTAACAGGTTTTTGGAAGGGTACCCTTGGGTAAAAACCTCCAGTTGACACCTGTTCAATTTCCCATTCCTCTTCTACATTGTATGTACCTACAGGGTTCCCACAGAAAACTGGAACCGAATTCTAGGACTTTCCAGGATTAAAATATAGCGATTTCCATGACATTTAATGCCATTTGGCAGGAAAAAAAGTACATGTAGTTTGATACATTATATATGTACAGTACCTGGAAGAAAGCCTAGTAACTATTTACAGGCCGACAAGGACGTGCACTTTACATGTAGTCTGTAAATTTGTCATTCCTTCATCACATCAAAAGCCTCCCACTGCCCATTAAGAACTAACCCTTGCAATGATCTGGATTTCCATGATAACGGTATTACCGTGACTTTTTTTCCTCAGACAACAACATTCTATAACATCCTACATGTATTTTCCATCACTTTTCAATGACTTTCAAGGACAATTTCTTTCCAGGATTTTCCATGACCGCGGGAACCCTGCATACATGCATATGTACCGGTACATATAAATGTATGTAGGCTTACGTCTGTGCGGTGTGCTTGGAAGATGAATATTACCATCGGACGTACCGGTACAGTACATGTGGCATTTGGCGCATAAACTGTGTTGTGTAATTTCCTTTGTTGGAGATGTTTAGGCAGCATCAGTGTAAACGCGTCTCTTAAGCAGGTTGCCCTCGTGAGCATAAAAAAAAGCAGGTGTAGGTAATAAAGAGCAATTTAATTTTCCCTGGATAAATTGAAAAAGGTGTGTCGCTGCACTGTGACCTCCCCCCCCCCAACAACAACCAGGGCAGAGAGGGGAGGTCGTCGCACGGAACACATACTCACTGCAAGGTGAAAGGGTTAAATTGTCAGGAGGAATTTGGCCGAGCTGGCGGAGAGCATTACCAGGGAGCCAGAAAAGAGGCCAATTATTACTGGCCACGGTCAGCCCTGTATAGGAGGGGGGGTCGGGCAGAATCGGAGTGGAACGCGGGGTGCACAAACTGAACAAGTGTCAGAATTCAGCAGACTGGCTGACTAATCGTGAATCTCATCACATACATGTACATGTATGTGGTGCAAAGTACTTGTACAAATTCAACCAATACATGTACATGTACATGTAGGCCCTACAGGCATGACAGGTAGCTGTACATATAGCATCCAAGGCATTGGTGTTAGCAAAGACGCTTCTTGAATCTTCAATAATCAACCGCTGAGCAGAATTACCGGGCGGCACTTTCGTGGGGGATTCAGGATCAGGATGAATAAATGTTTCCATGCAAGGAAATGGTAGACGGGTTCCGCGTACGTCACTTTCTTCAAAATCCTCCCCCACTCAATGGATAAAACATTTATCTTTTCACCTTAGCACGGTGGGGGTTTTTTTGTGTGTGTTTACTATTAGTGTATCATTTTTTTCCAACCATCCAAACTCGTTTTGGCTCCAAATCAGATCTTCCAACTTCAGACACATTTTGCTTGCTCATGCACTTGTGCACCGCATTACGTCATACTTGCACCATAACGTACTTCCCCGACATTTACTACACATCTCGGTATCTGTCATGTCAGCATGACGCGCGCTTAATTGCTCCTTATAAAATAACTTCCTTGGGAAACTGGAACAGCGAGAGCTACCCGTACATTGTACATGCGGTCCAAAATATCGTCCCAAAACGCAGTGTCACCGTGTCACAACACCTGATAGTTTTATGTGCATCGGGAGTATGTTCTTGTCTTTTGTCTATTCAAGTGAATCACACCCCATTTCTCAGTTGACCCACATCTGTCCAACACTGAGCTTAAAGCAAATGGTGCACTTTGGAAGGTAAAGCACAGCAGAATGTTACAGATTGATGCAGTTCACTGACTGAAATCCCAGGGTACAGCCTAGGGTACCAGTGGTACAGTTTCCCATTGATGCTCAACAATGCAGTCCACAGTGTCTGGTCTATCAAAGTGAGGCATGTGCGTTTTGTTAACCGGCAAATACAATGTAAGTCCTTTCAGCTCTTCCTCCCCAATAGACCAAAGACTACGAGCAAATCTGTGTGGTTTGGAAGATGCAGCAGGGCGACAGTTCAAAGATTTACGTACATTGCATTAAGTTTTGCCAAATGATATAATGTGCTTCAAGGGCCAACAATGTGCAGTGAAACCAAAAAGACTGTACCCCTTCAGAGAAACTCCTCTCCCCTTTTCCACAATGACAGCACTTCTAACCTTTATTACTGTGACTCTACTCCCATTCTACAAGTGTACTGTACATGGGATTTGGGTGACCAACGAGTACACAGTATACATGCAGGCTACACTCAGAGGAAGGAAAGCCATTTTAACTGGCTTTGGACATCCATGGCCACCAGTTTTTGTTGGGGGGACAGGCTGTCCAAGAAGTCTGACAAGGCTGAGGCTGTACATGTACATGTGCATATTGTACAATGTACACTAGGATGCATCTGGGTGTCTCTTGACCAAGCCACCACCGTTTGCGTCAGTTTCCTTTACTGCCAAGTTTGCTGAACTGTGCCAAACAAAAACAGGCCTCTTGAAAGACAGGTTTCTGTGAAACCAGACGGCAAGCGGGATGGCACTGGCCAGAGTGTATTGGTATTTCAGATGAGTAGGCCTTATGGGGAAAATACATGTACTTGCCAGTATACCGGTACAGGTGGACAAGTACCTCCCAAGAGAATGTTGGTGGCAACTGACAAAGATCAGTGTTTACCAGTTTCCTTCCAAAGTTCCAACTCAGTTCAAGAACAAAGTGTTGGGGGCACTGAAAAAAACAGACTCATTTCTGAAAACTTTGCTGATAAAACCTATGCATTTGGACCATGAAAAAGACTGGACCAAAGACAAAAAAATTCACTGACCCAGCTTGGCCTAGTGGGGCCAGCTATCGAAAGGCATGGCTTCAACAACATTCCCACTTTGCATAATCAAACATATGCTGGGGACCTATCACAAGTAGCCTGTAGTTTAGCCAGGCAAAGCTGGTACAGTACACGTACATGTACATGAAGGTTAGCAACAAATAAAAACATGAGAAACATGTACTGTACACCTCATTCTGGATGACCAAAGTCCTTGAAACTTACCATGAATATACTGCACTTGGTCCCCGTTTCCTACTGGAAATGCCTCTCCCTGTTTGATGTGCAGGTAGAACACGTACTTCTTGTTCACCTGTCCAGCATTCTGGCCAGTATCGTGCACCTGCCCCTGGGTGGAGACCTCATCTCCAACGCCAACCCCCATACCGGGGTAATCCGCAACCTGGTTCTGCACACCAACAGCATTCGTTGCATAGTCCTGCCCGCTGGGGTAAATCTGTTCTGTCGAGGCATATTCCTGGGAGTAGTCCGCCACGGCTTGCTGACCGTCATACTCTGGCCCCTGGGCTGGGTAGTCGAGGCCATTGCCATTGTTGTCAACGGCTGCCGTCGTTGACGGTTGACCGTCCACATATTCCGTGTAGCCACCGGTCCGGGGGGCGACGACCGTGGTAGGGGGGAGCTGCATAGGGCCGTTCAGATACTGCTCGGGCTGTGGTGCATTCGCCGTGGCTGGGTTGTTCCCTTGGTTCTCCACCGAGGAGGAACCGTCCGAGGGGTAGCCGTCTGGCCCATTTTCGGCGGCCGAGGAAGCCGTCGCCGTTCCCGGCGGCGTCTTGACAGCACTGCCCAGGGCCGACTCCAGCTCACTGCTGGTGGAGCTGGTCTCGCTGCTCAGCTGGGTCTGGGGCAGATCATGCATGGACGACAGGTGGTTGGTCATGGCAGGGTAGGTGCCTATCACAGGCTCCGAGGCCGACATTGTAAGAAAATTCACAAACACACAAGCTGGGGGAAAATGGCCAACTTTGACTCTGTCGACGTGTCTGGACTGCACAGAGGACTCGCTAGGATATCTTTACAGTGTATTCCTCTTGGTATAAATCCTAACCCCAAGGCATCAATTCCAGTCACTTAATACTGCAAACTGGAAAAAGAACAAAAGAGAAAGTCAATTCAATGCACATTGCAGAACACTGCCAATTAGGAAACAATAAAATTGTATTCAAAATGATATATGACTCCCAGAGTATTAACCAAACAAATGACACATGTACATGTACTTAAGCAGAACCACCACACTCATGCGCATGTTCTTAAACCTGGCACACAAGTGTACCGGTATTTTGGAAGATCACAGAATCTAGCTGTAGAGACTTTGCGCAGTAGCCATCTTGCAGGGCAGTTACATTGGTTTTTGTTCCTCAGGAGACCTCCTTTGTGCATAGCCTGTAGAACAAAAGCACTGGCCTGCAGGATGGCAGCCATGCATAAAGACTCAGAGTTCAAGAGTGGCACCACTGCAAGCTGGCTTGTAATTCGAGTCATCAGAGTTTACTCGATGGAATTCTAAGTTTTCCATCCTTCTGGCAGAAATATAACGCTTGTACATGTCGGAGACTTGAAAATTCCCTTTACAAAACAGCGGGTAAATGAACAGTACCGCGTCTCTTTCCTTCAACATGTGTATTAACGCTTCTGTCAACTCTGTATCCACAGCTCTTTGCCCAAAATATATCCTCACATGCAAGGTATTATTTCGGCAATTTCATGAACATGTCCATTTATGTTGACAGGAAGCTGTTATTCCCAAGAGTAAATATGACGTTATCAGACGTTATCAGATCTTATCAGTGCACACAGTCCTGCATGTAACCTACGCAGGGATCCCAAACATTTGTCAAAAAACAGTCGGGGGGTCAATCCCGATGTGAAAGATACCTTTGCTATGATTCAAAATGAGCAAGGCGAGAGAAGCGCTCACTGGCAGAGTCAAAGCAAATCTGAACAAACATGTTATTCCGTGCACATTCCTCCCCTGCCCTGCCCTGCCCTCCCCAACCAAGGTACATGTACCCTACCAGTAGTGAAAGTATAAACGAACATTGTTTTGCTGACGTAAAAGTCTCTGCTTGAGCAGGACGTCAAAACTACAACAGAGCCAGGCAATGACATGCACAGTGTGAAAAAAAAACACAAGATATGCCTATATTTTACCGAGTAAACAGTAAACTCACAAATGAAGTTTCAAAGGCAGCTTTTGGGTGAACTATATTCCAGTTTCTATTGTGGAATAATTAAGTCCATAAAAAATTCCCCTCTGACTCTAAAAATGATTCCTTCTTTTTTTCTCGTCGAGCTGCAATGTATACTTACAGAAACAAAACTGGAAGACAGTCGTTACGCAAGGCAACAATACAACAGAAAAAAGTACCCGTAGCAGGCCCAAAGGCGAGGCAAAATATGAAAGAGACCAGTAGTTGTGACGGCGTCAGTACTAAATCTGAATTGAAAAATAAAATGGGCCCAACCTATTGCACCACTTTCTTTTCGACAAAAATATTGGTACTGGTAGCTGGCATATTTTAGTCTCCTATTGCCTCACTGGGGGAAATCCTCCTCCGGCATGTTGAGTGGGAGAAAAAAAAGCAAGTTGATTCTTACATTTGATGGATATTTTCAGAAGTCAGTGCTTGTTTCCTCCACTTCATGAAAAAAAAAAACAAAAACCCACTACAAGACCATTTCCCAGGTTTCCTCTTTCATCACACATCAGGTACACGTACATTCATGTTACGCAATGATGTAAAGAATGTTGGTGGTGATGAAAGAAATTTGTTCATCCCTGTGCGGCTGACGTCCACACAAGTGCACGTATAGCAATCAGGATCGCTATTGTAACCGTCTCGATGACACTCTATTGAGGAAACACATACGAATACACGTACCAGTATTTCCACAGCCGGAAACCCATTATCAAAACCCAAAGTTTTACCAATCAGGTGAATCTGACACAAGCATTTTCCTATTTCTATGTACAAATTGTGGAAAGGGCAGATTTGATCAAATATGACTTTTGCTTGGACTTTGGCTGGCAAGGCAGCGGCACTGTTAGTTCAGCATGGGTATGAAACCTTTTTTGCAGTACGGTACATGTACATGTACATGTACACGGTTAATTCCAGAAGTTAGGGGTCCAAAATTGTGACATTTTCTTGTCCCTGTTACATCTGGCCTTTGTTACATGGAAATATCACCAGAATTGTTTTCAAACTATTTCCATTTGTTTGGCAGGTAATTAGCATTCATTTATATCTCTTGGAAAGAGAAAATGTGTTCTGAACTTACAACATCATGTCAGAGGTAACAGGGACACAAAAAAATGGACCCCTAATTTCTGGAGTTACCCAAATATGCATGTAGGCCAATGGCAACAAAATCCTGTGAAAAAAATATAAAGTTCAACTATCAAGTTCATTTTTTTACTGCATCTACATCTTCACAATAGTCATGTGCAGCAATCACAAGTATGTTACACAATATCCATCTCGGTACACTGCGTACCCGGCATTGAGGAAAAGTCCAGAAAAATGACTTTGACCTCATGAAATTTTGAAAGACTTCCCGGCAAAGTATTCTCCTTTAACCAGAAACTGCAAATTAACCACAATCTCTCAAAAGTTCCGGGCAATATTTCTGCAGGATGTCTGCAACCACACTAACCAGTAAGTATTCTAACAGAAACCCCACTGGGCCTCCGGTGATTTTCTTCCCACAATATTGTTTTTCCCAAGGTATAATATGAACGCATTACATTATGCTGATTGCTGAGGGGGAAAAAAATACCGGAAGCTCATCAGATTTAAACATAAATGTACATGTACATGCAGATTTCTACCAACTTCACCAATTGCCACATTTACAATCATTACCATGCACCAGTAGGCAAGTAGTGAAGTACATGTATGTGTACTGTTCCTTGCCTCTAACCCTAAGATGTATGAAAAATCACGTCGAAGTTGGCAGATTGAGGACCCAGTGTCTGGGGGGAAAACACTACATTTCAGTCAGGTCCTGGAAAGTGACATGGTACATGTGTGCAGAGTCTATAAACTTTTCAGTTACTACAGTAAACACTAGTTACCGGTACATTGCATTGTACATGTATGTATACTGGCTAATTGGTGTTGGTTGGCCTTGGGGACAGCTGTATGATAACCCAGTGATCAAAAAATAGACAGCAATCCTGACAACCAAGGGGTCTACCATGGTTGATGCAGTTACACATTGCTTTTACATGTACTTCCCCAACAGGTTCAAAATGGAGTCAGGCCGTGCATACATGTACATGTATACAGTATGCGCACATATAGACATGTACATGTAGCACCCATTATGACACTGGAACCCCAGGGACAACACTGGAGCTCTGCCAAATATTGTTTGACCCTCCGGAAGCCTTTGATAAAACAAACCCCAACACCAGGAAAAGAACATGATATCAAAACCATATTCCCTTACCAGACCTCCCAAACAGGAGACAATACCACTGTTGGTCCCACATGGTAACTCACTCCGATGAACAAATTTGATGTACAGTAAACGTACGTATCTCTCTCTCCTATAAAATCCATGTGCGTGATACTGGAATATTGATCCTGAAATACTGTGGTGAATTAAGCCAGGAGGTTGGACTCAACAAAAAAAAAAACAACCCTGCTGGTGTACTTCACCAAGGCAAAGGACTCCTGTGGTTCAGCATCCACATCCAATGTTGTTTAAACAACTGCATGTCAATGGCCATGAAGTTTCTACCAGCCTTCCTCAGAGCCCCTTTGCTCTGAGCCTCACCAAAGGGTCGTGACCTTTGACTCGGACCCGTTCTCCTGGGCTTTTTGCCAGTAGGGTAAATGGGAACTGCAGCTGAGCGCCCGGGCGGGCGATTTGTGTGGGGGGGGAGGAAAGAATGCAGACAATGCTCCAACAAGTTGCTGACACAGGAAATAAAAGGAGTGCGCGGTAAAACTACACTCTCTCTCTCTCTCCCAGATTGAGAGAACCAGCCTGGCAACATTCACCTTCCCTCGGATCTACATGTACATGTACATGTAGACATGATAAACAGGGTGCCAGTTTCAAGTATATTTGAGGCAAATACGTGTACATTTGCCCACCAGGCAAAGGTTCTGGTCAGAAAAAAAAAGACCAATAACTGAATGCCATTGCCAGCCAGACCGAGAAAAGCCTTCATGCCACTTGTGCCGATATGACTGGTTCCTGTGCTGACTTTGACAACCTTAGAAAAATTTGTCTAGCCAACTTTGATAGCCCCAATGCACGTACTGGTACATGTATATGCAAATTCGATACTTTCCACTCGGCAACTCTACCAAACGGGGCCTCGTATCTCTTGAAGAGACCTTTAAACATGTACATCTCTGCTATACATATATGACGCAAGTACACAAGTCGCCTTGGTGTACACACGTACATGTACATGTACTGTATATGTACATGTACATTGTAAGCTACTGTCCTAAACAAACTGAGTTCAAACATACATGTAAATGTGCAATTCCTAACTGAAAATGCAACTTGCAAGGTGGATGCATAGAGGTAAATGCAAAATTTGTCCACAGAGAACAAGAGCTTTGTATCACTCGGATAGGCTCGAGTAAGTGCATTTGTTGTAACTAAATAAAACTAACAAAAACAGCCTCCGAGACACCACGGTGATGCCAGCAGTGCATTACAAATAATCCCATTTCGCCTAGACACATACAAGCATAAACGGATGCAAAATTCAGACAATATACCAGTAACAAGCACACGGGATCAAGTCAATAATATTGAGCAGTTTTCGTGCGATTTGTTTTTCCCACAACAAAACAAGCAAAACGCGCGATACACAACTGAGGTCATTACTACACACTGTGACAGTAAATGTACGACATCTGGTCAATTTTCCACACTTTGTGACGCAGTAAGCACAAGCAGACATGTGTAAATATTTTATAATTTCCAGGTTAAATGCCCAGTTAATGCAAGCATTTGATATCCATGCATTGTGTCACGCGTTTTGCCAGTGCTGCAACCTAGCACAAATACCGCTGTTATAACATAAATGACCGTCAGTGAAAGCACACC